TTTTTTTTGGTTGCAGCCATCATTGCTGTTTGGCGGGCCTGGACTGGATTCGAACCCGCCACCTTAGGTGTATGTGGCTGGCGCCTTAGCAGTTTGAGCCACAGGCTCCAAGCCAAAAATCAGAAATCATTTACTACATATTTTAATTATAAAGACAATACATGTTAAATTGTAGAAAGCTTAGAAAAATGCAAGAAATTACAGAGGAGGAGAGAAAACCACTTATGATTCTGTAGCCTAGAAGAAAACGCTTTGTGATTGGTATTTTCTTTAATCCCTTTCAATCTCTTCCCACAAAGTTATATGCCTTACCCCAGTGGCCACGCCAGACTTAAATCCTGCCCAGGTGACTCTGAGGCACCCAGGCCACAGACAGGCTTTTGGAAACCACTGAGGTATTTTCCAACCCTAAAGAGCTTGTGATCCATGATTGCCTTTAGGACTCTGAGCACCAACAACCAAATCCTGTCGGCCTGGTGTAGGGCCTGGGAACCCATCCATAGGCTCACAAACCCTCTCTAGACACAAGCAGATGCCACGCACACTCCACTCAGCCTTCTCCTGCCACAGAGCAGCCCCCAGAAGGCTCTTTTCCGAAAGGAAACCAAGTTGTCTCGTCCCAAAAGAATCAAAGAACACCCTGATTACGGAGGTACAACAATAAATAAAATATTTTCTAAAAGTTAAACAAAAGGGCCTGACTAGGAAGGAAAGAAAAAGGACTTGAAGAGAGGCCAGTGGGAGAAACAGCAAGGAGGAAGGAAATTAGCATTCACTGGACAGGATGAAGTACACAAAGACACCAAAACGCCAGACAGCTTGGGTCCTTCGAGAAGAGGGCGTGGAGGAGAAGGGGAGAAGGAAGGGGGAACCAGGAAAGAGTGAGCTTGGCCTCTGACCCTTAGGCACCTGGCACACAGCCTGTAGTCAGTTGAGAGCAGACCCTCAGAGCAAGCCCCAACTGTCCTAGATTTGGCTGGATCACCTCCCACACAGTGGGAGTTCCCAAAATATACGGCAGGGGTACCACAGGGTGTCAGGTTGGAGTACAGAGGATAGAAAACTTACCCTAGAGCCCTCAAATTCTCGGAGCCTAGTGGGTAAAACGAAGGCATGGAGGGAAAGAATAGAGGTGAATGCTGGGCAGGAAAGAGCTAGGCTAACGTGGCAAATCAAAGTTAAGGGAGCACAGCAGGCATCAGACCTGTGGGTCTTCTTTGGCTCATCCAAAGAAGAGACTATTTCTTTTTTTTTTTTTTTTTTGAGACGGAGCCTCAAGCTATCCCCCTGGGTAGAGTGCCATGGCATCATGCTCACAGCAACCTCCAACTCCTGGGCTCAAGCGAGTCTCCTGCCTCCGCCTCCCAACTAGCTGGGACCAAAGGCGCCTGCCACAACGCCCGGCTATTTTTTGGTTGCAGCCGTCATTGTTGTTTGGCGGGTCCGGGCTGGGGATTCGAACCCGCCACCTCAGGTGTACGTGGCTGGCGCCTTAGCCAGTTGAGCCACAGGCGCCGAGCCAGAAGAGACTATTTCTTGCTATAATGAAGGCAGTCAGTTGGCAAGTGTTTAAATCCCCACTGTGTGCAGACATTCTGCCTGAAAGCACCATGGCTTATCCTGTGTGATGGGGATCATGGAGGGACACAGTGGGCACTCAGCAAGTGCAAGGTGGACTGACTACAGAAGAGCTAGTCCTGCAAGATAACCCA